TTTGGCAGGCTTCTGATGATTTTCTTTACATAATCTACAGTGGTGTAGCCTTTATTCAGAACTTCTAATCCAACCACAAGAGTTTGAAATATTGAGAACATCTCCTCAATCATTTCATCCTTTTCCTTTTTGAAGGCTTCATATTTTTGGATTAAAGCCAATGTTTTAGTTTCCTTAACTTGCTTATTTTCTTTATGAGTCATTTTCAAATAATCAAATATAGACTTAGCAGAGTGATGATTCTTGTGATCCTTCTTTTGCTACTCATTCATTTTACTTTTTTAAAGCTTTGTACCATTTTCATTTGTATGGTGTGTGTAACCATCTATTACCATATCCCATAGATCTGTATCACAACCTATGAAGAAACTTTTGATTCTATCTTTCTAATAGTCAAACTTTTATCCATCAAATAATGGTGGTTTGGTAGAATAACGATCTTCATCATTGTTTGGATGTGTCATTCTATGTTTCAAAATATGAATCTTTATCTGACACAGTTAAGTATTTGACACAAAATAGTTAATACCATAACAAGAGCTTTAATTCCAATTGAAGGTTCATAACACACAAGAAAAGGGGGATTGAATTGGGTTTCAAATATGACAATTTTTTGTGACCCAAAAATAATAACAATAATGATAAAAAGAAAAAGATGCTTTTATCTTGTTTTGTTAACGAGGTTAGTCCAGTCCACACGTCATAGTGATTTTTCCTTCTCAACGGGACTTGATCTAATAATCAAATTGATTACAATCTCAAAGGCTATCCATTAATGACTTCTCAAGGATTCTGACTACACTTAATCCCTTAACGAATTACAACTCAAAGACTACCCGACAATGACTTCTTGATGCTTCTGACTAAATACAAGGTTTGTGTTTACAAAATATCATCTAAATAAGCAGATACGCAAAATGATAAACAGACTTTACACTTATGAATATATGAAATGAAGTTCTAAGTGTTTCTTTCTATTTTCTCTATTGAACTTCTTTCAGCATAAAGTTCGTTGTATGTTCTTCTTCAATCGTTTTTATTTCACAATTCTTTTGTCCTCTTTATATAGATGGTGAATAAGATCGTTAGAGGATAGAATTGGAAACTTCTTCAATCCACAGTTGTAATAGTTGGTACGAGATTGAACCATAAATTGTGGATAGTGAAGAAAAATCTTTGATAGTCATTTAATAGTACAATCCTTGGAAATATCAGCATATTTGTCTTTTTTATTTTACCGTTCAAATTGTATTATATTCTTGAAGCATGTCCAAAGTTCATAGCCTTGATAATTAGACTTTAGATTCTGGTGAAAATGAGGCTTGAATTTAATAAAGTACATTTGGGTTGATTACTTCAGAAGCGTTGACTGAGATATCCAGAGGTTGACATTAAGTTTAAAACTTCTTAGTATTCTATCTTTGGTTCAAATTCTGATGATGTCCATAGTCCAGAGTCACTATATCCAGAGTCCAGAGTTCAAAGTCTAATTTGTTCAGCTTTCTTCAGAGTCTGGCTTGTTCAGAGTATGTTTTATCCAGCATCTGACTTATTCAGATTCTTGCTTTATCCAGCATTTGTCTTGTTTAGAGTCTTCACACTCAACAAACTATTAGAGTACACATTGTTCTTTATACTTTGTTATCTTAAGAACTCAAGGATAGTAGATGTAGAATCGAACTTATTCCAACAATATCAATATATGCTTGAGCGGGTCATGCGTCAATTCGGATTTCTTCAGTTTATTCCAAGACATCTTATTGTATCTGTTCCTCCAACAGTCCACCGAAGAGATATTGATGTCATACTCGATGATTTTTATAATCATCTAGTACCATAGGATATACACAATGTGTCAACTCCTAATCCATGGGCCTTTGCATTCAACTACATCCAATAGTTATATAATGTGTCACACTGTTACATGACACAAAATGTTGCAAGAGAACCACCTAGGTCAGCCATCATGAAATATTGGAAGAGGAGCAAGCTAGGGATGACCACGAACATGAGGTGTTGTCGTCATGTCGGCATATTGCGAGACTTACGAGTTATGCTCTGAAGAGAGGAGTTTTGAGGAAGGTAGTTCTGGTGTGGCCACCGTACAAACCATCTTAGCTGAGACTCGAAATGCCTTGCACTATAGGAGGCAGAGGAGAAACAGAGGGGTTAGATATACACATTAGTTCATTTTTATTTGATTTTTAGTAACAATTGTATTATTTGTATTTTTTGAACAAACTACGTATCGTAATAACGTTTTTGATTAATTTATTAATGTTTGAATTTTTATTATTGTTTGAATTTATATATTACATCATTGAATTACATTAATTACATGGTGTTATGATATCTTTTGTATAAATGGTCGAAAATATAAGTTGGCCTAAAAATATATCAATTTCATAACAAACTTGTTGCCTTCCATCAATTTTAGGACAAACTGATGTTCTATGTTTCAAGGGTATTTCTGAAGATGTGAAAACCCCTATTCCATCAGCTCAAAATGGTTTTAGGGGTTATTCTCGAGATGCACTTACATACTTACCTTGCAAAAGAATACGAATATGTATCTCCAAACCATTTTTTGTTGCAAAAATAAGGTGAATAACTCACTTACAAAGTCACAATGTGTAATTAAGGTGCGTCCAAATATACACTTTAAAATTTTAATAAAGATATTTTTGAATTTTTAAAAGGTGATGTTTCACCCCAAAAGGGTGAGAAAATTAAAGTCATAAGTAATTTACTCAGCTAAGTGGTAAATATGCATTCAGGCTTAATATAGATTTATTAATATTTTTGTTTACAATCTTTTATGTGATTTCAATTATAGATATTTCTGTTTACAAATTTTTAGAGAATTTTTTAATGCACACAATATATTACTTAGGCACCACGTAAAAATATTAAAATGCTTTCACATTTCAGAGATGCATCTATGAATGCATAGATGCACCCAATACACATACAATCTAGGTCATTTTGAGTGACGCCTTATTAGTTGGTTTTTTAAACCCTGAGATGCATCTCTGAAATCTATCTGTAGATTCATCTCCAAAACATATGTGCAATAGAATCAGAAGCAGAAACGAGAACATTGTATTTTGACAAAATAAAATCACCATTCATACCATAAAATAAGCATTACATAGGTGATTTCAACATAAAATGAAACATTATATTTTAATATTCAGGTGGACGGTTCAACATCTTGACAATATCTCCGACCGATCTTAAAATCATCACTTCCAACTCCAGCATAACTTTTGTCTTAAAACGGAAAAATATATTCTACATAGCCCTTACATTTGTATCCGTCTTGAGCTCAAAGTTGTCGAACTCAATCTTTCCTTCGTTGTCAATAGAGGATGAACGGTACTCAAACTTAACAATTTATCGTTTGTCTCCGTAAGGTAGGAGATTATGGACTTCGTATTTCAGATCTACAAAAGAGGTGTACTCATTGAGTTTAAACTTTCGCCCTAGTGTCGTGCTGGAGAAAGAGACATTTGCGACATATCAGATGATGTTTATTTGTGACTCTGAGACATCTTCTATTTGTGTGAAATAAAAAACAAGAGCACCTTGATTTATAGAAGTTATAGACAAATGTGGACCTAAACAATTCTATCATGTGGACCTCAAGATTAATGCGAGCAATAAGGCTTGAAATAAATGATCTTTATCTAAAATTCAAACTTCTTTTACTCATTTAATTGTGACAAAACACAAGGTTGAAGATTTGGAGTGAAAATGTTGATTGATAATGGAAGGTTTTTGGTAAGGATTTGGAGTGGAAAACAAGTATGGTTGTGTGATCATGCAGTTTAGTGTTTTATTAAATTATTCAGAAAATGCATCTCCGAAAACATCAGACATGCAAAAGGTCATAGACATTTCCAAATCCTGCCCCAATCTTCTAAAAATGCATTTTCGAAATATCCATTGGACAACTCAACTGACAATATATTTGTTGAAAACACTCGGAGATGCATCTCTGAAATATTTTATAGTATTAATCTAGGATGTCATTCATTTGGTGCGCCATAATGTTGGTGCATGCTGCGTTTGAAGATGCATATTTAAAATCTGAAGGACAATTTTGATTTTTTATTGTGTTTTTCCACCCAATAGAATGTCATAAGAAATTCTCTAACTTTTATATACAGCTCAAAACACCAATAGAATATAATATCATAATACAATTTTTTTATAATGGAAAAAAAAATCAATTATACAATTTTTTATAGCATTGTCTCAAATATAATGTGAAGATTAAATTTAACATAATTAATAAATGTATATCACTTTTTCAATAAATCGACAGTAAATTTTAACTTATAATAGAGAATAGGCCACATCTAGTGATCTCCCCTCAATTACTTTTTTTTTCTTTAGCTATTTCCTTTTGTTTTCTTCCTTTAGCTTTTGCTTAAGAGATAAGTGTACTTTTATTCGATTACAAGTGTTTGATATCTTATTAAGCCAGTTGATCAAGCAAATATCAAAAGAAAACAAATAGGAGAATACTCATGGTTTTCTGTAATATACATACAGGGGCGTGTCAATTGTATTTTTCCTAAATCTATTGTTCAATCTTCTTTTGCTCATTGGAAAGACAAAAGAAGCTAAACCATTCTTTTAACAAAAAAATTATATAAACATTAGAGCACCCAAAGTAACATGACAAGAGCATTTGGACTACTCAGAACTAAGCAATTGAAGCGTCATTCCTAGCATTTAATTCCCTAAAGACACATTTATTACAAACTCTTACAAGAGGACAAGCAGAAGAAAGGGAAAAGTCCTTGACACAGATTTTAAAAAATGGAACAGAAGGACACAGGCCCATATGAAGGTTGGAGAAAAGCCACAAGTTAGAAAAAAGTGGGTCAGTTTGTTTGATTTCAAGCATATCCATAATGAATGTTACACACAACATGCTTTAACTAAGAAGTGGAGTGAGAAATAGTGAAAAAGTTACAGAGAGAAATAGTTTAGGTGGCACGGGAAATGCCTTCCAACAATAATTTTGTCTCCTGAATTGATGTCCTTAGATTTTTCATTTGCTCCTCTACCTTCTCAAATGTGCCTACGCAAGACATGGAAGATAAGAAATTGCTGTTTGCAGCTATGATCATGTTTGTCTGCAACTCTTCGGCTCTTAGAAAATTCATTTGCAATTCTTCACCTAGAATCTTTGTTTCAGCCTCCTTTAGATCATATTCAAACACGTACTGATGGAGATCAATGATCAAGTGCTCCATTTCCAATATTCCATTATCTCTAAACTCCACGAACATTTCTTTTTCATTCGTCACGCGTTTAAGTGAACGTTCCTTTTCCTCTGTGGTTCTCAAACCTTGCTTTACTTCCAGTCCAACTGCTTGAATCTGACTTTCTACATTTGCTACTTTCTTGTTCAGATTTCCCAGTTCTTTTCTAACAACCCCGAATTTTTCTTGAGAAAGTTTCATCTCTGCTTGCAGCTTAGTTTTTTCTTCTTCTAACTTGAGTAAATCAAACGCTTTACCGCTAAATTGCCAACTTTTCACTGAGGAATCTATGTTATGTGTGTTATCAATAGCAAAGAGAACCTTTCCATCTTCACGCTTATGTTTCTCTTCCTCCAATTTGGATTTGATGCATGCAATATTCTTGGTTAATTCAGCTTCAGATTCTTGGTTCTTCTTTATATCACTTTCCAGCAACTGTTTGGTAGCTTGAAGAGCAACCAACTCCCCTTTCTTTCGGTCAAGATGAGATGCCAAGTCATTCAACGTTGCTCTTGCCTTTGCTTCCCGATGCTCAAAATAAGAAAATGACTCGTGCTTCATAAAGTTTGATAATGAATATTTGAGTGCAGATAGCTTTTTATCAGTTAGAGCTCTTCTATTATGTGCTTCATGAAGCTCAAGATTTGAGGATTTAAACTGCTGACGTTTGACCTGAATATCATGTTCTATCACTTGAATTTCTCTTGACAGCTCATCAACCTGGACAATATCTTTTTCAGCGTAGCCAAGCGTTCTAACAGCATCTAAGATTTGTTCATCAACCCTTTCAAGCTTTTCTTTAGCATAGTTTAATTCCATTGATAACTTTGCCTCATTGAAATTTGATACCTCAGTGACCTTTTTTTCAGTGTTAACCAGAATATCAACCTCATTCTCCTCCTTAAAAAGCATTTCTTCTGCATGTCCATCTGACTCAAGGCATAAATCAGATCCAGATAACTCTGTCTCTTCTTTAGCATAGTTCAAATTCATTGATAATTTTGCCTCATTGAGATTTGATACCTCAGTGTCCTTTTCAGTGTTAACCAGAATATCACCCTCATTCTCTTCCTCTATAAGCTTTTCTTCTTCTTGTCCATCTGACTCAAGGCAAATATCAGACCCAGATGTAGCAGGATTGTCATCATATCTACCATCACCTCTATCATGCACTTCCTCTGAAGTGGTCCCTACTATTGAGTCTATTTCCCCCTCATCAACCTCAACAAGCTTTTCCACACAATCCAATTCTTCTCCTTGGGTTTCAACTCTTTCATGTCCAGAACATGCTAGAGTTCTTTTAAGATTATCCCTCTCCTGCATGGCTCTTTCATACAAACTCATCAACTTTTCATTTTCTTCATTGATTTCCATAAGCTGATGTTGGAGATCCTCAATCACTCTTTTCAAAGCAGACACCTCTTCACTTTTTTCTTCATTGGTTTCCATGAGCTGATGTTGGAGATCCTCAATCACTCTTTTCAAAGCAGCCACCTCTTCACTTTTTTCTTTGTTGATTTCCGTGAGCTGATGTTGGAGATCCTCAATCACTCTTTTCAAAGCAGCCACCTCTTCACTTTTTTCTTTGTTGATTTCCGTGAGCTGATGTTGGAGATCCTCAATCACTCTTTTCAAAGCAGCCTCCTCTTCTCTTTTTTCAAGAAGGTAATCATTGGCAAACTTTGATACAATTTCTTGAGAATTTTCCTCTTTAGTAATGTTTCTGTTATTTTCAGCAGCAGCCTTGTCGTACAACTCAATTAATTTACTATTGTCCTCAATCATGGCTCTAAGCTTCACCTTTAGCTCTTCATTCTCCCTTGACAAGATAATTGCTGTCTCATGAGCCTCTGCTTCTCTATGACTAGCAGCAGCAATAGCATCAACCATTGTCTTCAATTCCATTTGGCCATTGATGTTAATTGATGGGGGGTCAATTTGCTCCCTTCCTTCAGTTGTTGTTTCACTTAGTTGAGATTTCTCTTGTTCAAATTTTGCTTTCAAATCATCAACTTGCCTGCAATAGAGAAACATGCATATGCAGAAACAGTGTGAAGAAGAAAATTGCAAATTAACCACTGTAAAATAAGTTGTGAAAAATGAGAGCAACCAATACCTTTCCAATTTTTCTTTCTCTCCAAGGCAAACCTCTAACTTCTTCAGAATTGTGTCCATCTCTGCATGGTTTTGTATAGCCTGCCACAGAGAACATTTTGTTAACTCATGAAAGACAGATATTTGACTAAAAAGTTGAATTGAGCAATAAAAAAATACAAACTACAACAGTTTAGACCTGGATACGAAGAAACTCATTTTCCTCTCGAAGAGAAGACTGCCAACGTGACTTTGGACTAGGCTCCTGAAGATAAATGTCAACAAGAATTAAATAAATAAGTTGTATAAATGAAATATTTAAAATGATCATTGTGCACAAAAATAAAATAAAATCTATTTGCATATCAAACATATAGAAAATTACTAGGCCTCCTTATTTAATTGATACATGCCCTGAGAAGATCCAAAATATGATCATTGTGTTGTGAGGGGACCCAAATAGTCAAGCCAAAAAGGACTAGTGCATGAAAAATGAAAAATGAAAAATTATCTAAATATTAACAGTTGAGCACAATATCATTCTTTGATTGAAACTGTGAGGCTTATATTTTCAGAAGTTTCAAAATGTTCCAGCATTTATTCTAGCAAGCTAAATTGAGCAAAGATCTCATGAGCAATACAATACCAACTACAAAATATGTTGGATTCGAATGTTTTATATTGAAGTAATACAATATTGGAGATCTATACACAAGTCCATCCAAGAACACCAGCTAGTCTGAAAACCTTGTAAAATGCACAATCAAAATCTTCTAGGCTTTCTAACTTACATCTAAATTGAGGTAAAATATCAAGGTAATCACTACTTCAAACATGAATACTAATGAAGAGTACTTCACTATTCTTACCTGTTTTGAAATAAGATCACAATCTCTATTTAAGTCCTCCATCATTGAGTCAGCATTTGTTTTCTAGCATTAGCAAAAGAGTAGGTCAGCTTCAAAGTTTGTAGTTCCCTTTTGACAGAAGGAAAAAATCATTACTGTAAACTATGAAAACCTGGGCCATTACCATATCGGGTTCGTGCATTAATTTCCAATCCAATGCTTCTAACAACTGCACATATATGTAAAGAAAACACAATCAATGTGAAGGGTTGACTGAAACTTTATAAAGAAAATTTTAGAGTTTGGGTTGATCTGTTTACAAAACCAATTTACAAGGTAAGGAGCGTCTCCCACTTATAAACACTTTGTCAGGCCATATCACATTAAATATGAGATTCTCAACATTCACTCCTTCACACGAAGGACCAAACATCTGGAGTGTGACTCGGGTGGCTCATAATAGATGACCCAATAATGGGTCTAGGATCGATTATGATACCATTTTAGAATTTGGGTTAGGTCTGACTTAACCCTACAAACCTACTTATAAGTATTAGCAGCTTACATAAAATAGTACGGGAGAGATTCTCAACTATAAACACTTCTTTAGGTCATATCCCGTTCAATGTGAGATTCACAACAACAGCAAAAAATAGTACGGGGGAGATTGAGTGAAAACTTAAATGAACCATTACAAAAACATCCTTCCCTCACCCTACCTTGTTTTGGAGTACCATGATTTGTCCATTCATTATTTCCCGTTCACCTTCCTCATAAAATGACTTCAACCTGTTTTGTAGATAGATAAGCATTAGAAGCATACATCATTACATAAAACAGAGATAAGAGATCACATAAAATTCACAGAAGCCACTGATTATTTTGTAAACATATTTTGTCATCATTGGTCATTTCTCGACCTTCCTTATAATCATGAAATCAGAATGAGATACTTTAGTTTGCACAAGAAACCAAGAAAAGGAAAAACCTAATTAAAAAAAAAAGATGTGTATTGAATCTACTGATTTATTAAAAAGTAAATGAAAACATGCCTCTTTATTTCTTCTGTGAGCTGCAAATTTTCCAAAGCAAATCTAGTTACATCTTGACTTCGGTCCACCTTGGCCTGCAGGACCTCGATTTCCTTCAAATGTTCCTCTTTTTCAAGCAGCAAGTGTGTCTCAGCTGAGATCTTCCCAGAGGCAACTGCTTCTAACCTTCTTCTTTCAGCTTCTCGAAATTTGAGCCTCATCTTTAGACATTGTATCTCATCTTCCCTTTGTTTGACCTGATTCATCACAATTGCAATAGTTTAATTTCCAAAGATTTACATCACAAAAATATCAATAACTGCCGTGATTATATATATATATATATATATATATATATATATATATATATATATATATATATATATATATATATATATATATATATATATATATATATATATATATATATATATATATATATATATATATATATATATATATATATGCACAAAAAATAATAATAGTAAACTTACAATACTGAAAAATTATACAGAATACCTAACAGAGATCTATGATAACCTAAATTAGACATAAACTGATTAAAAAAACTCAACAATTGGATCTAAAGATTGTCTTATGATTTCCTTTACAATCAAAAATCCAAATAAAAAAGATATATGTCATTTCACACGTACCAGCTTCTTGGCCGCTTCATTTTCTTCTCTCAGTGCTTGCAGCGCTATTTCTTTGTCTTTTTCCCTTCTAAAGGCCCCAACAAGGGCAATTTCATAATCTTTATTCTGTATGAAGCAAAAGAATTGTATCAATAAACAGTAATGAAACCCAATGATTTGTCTGACGAATAACAAAGATCTACCTGAGATACCCTTTTAGCAGAAGTTAATGGACTGAATGATCCTTGAGCGCTCTCCCACTTGAAGGATGATACCGGCGAACCTGGAAAGCTAATTACTGAAGTTCCATTATCCTGAATTTCTCCTCCACCACCTAGAGATCGCAAACGGGACACTTCTTTCTGAAAAAGAAATTGCATTACAAATCATAACTAGATATCTATTCAGCAGGTTTGTTAAATCTTGTAAATTAGCATAGCATAAAATTAAAGTTGAAGAACATACATTTGCTCACCGTAAAACTTTTTTATGACAAGAATTCATTCAATTCATTGAAGTGTATTGATAGACTCAAACAGACAACAGTGCAAGAATAGGGCAGAACGTCCAAGAATTTTACTCACAAAGTCTGGTAAATGTGACCACTGACCAACAAATACAATTCACTCTGTTAAGAGTCCCACATCGGACAATATATGTCTTTATAAGTGGGGGCAATCCTCACTCTACCAACCGGTTTTATAACATTATACATGAAAAACCAGTTGGTAGAGTGAGGAACTTCGTCAATTTTATAACATTATACATTGACGAAGTTCCATTACTCTTCAAAGTTCAAATCAAATTGAAAAAAACTCGTATTCACCATTATACATGACTCGTAAACAATTCAGTAAACATGTATAACTATGTTATTTGACTTGAATGATATGCCACTACTATAACTAAGAATGGGTCACCAGACATTTTCTATGCTAGGACATTTAAGAACATAACATAAGAAAAGATTATTCAAAATTAGAGTACCTTGAGTTGTTGAATTTGAAGTCTCATTGCAATGACATCTCCTGATGCATCCTCATTTACAATGGCCTGATGAAAAATTATATATGAGCTCTCATTAGTAGGATTGATACAATAGAATTTCTGTACAGAAGCTTTTAACTTTTGCAAACTTGGAATGATACAATAAAACAATATTAGGCAAAAAAATGTAAGTAAATTAATAAAAAAATGTAAGTAAATTAATAAAAAAACGCAGCACGAAAGACATACATTGTTCCTAATAAATTTAGCACGTTGTGCGAACTTCAGCGTGCTTAATGTCTCAAGCGAACAACTGCAAGAATTACTAATGGTCACTAAAGTATAAAAGTATTTAACTATATGCAGCAAATAAACTTGAAGTGTTTACGAAATTGGACAGAGATTAAGATTAAGGATCCATCTAATATGACAAGCAATCAAAACATGGAAACTTGTTGATTCCTGATTCCCAAGAATTCGTTATGCAAAAAAAAAAATCAAGTCCTTATGCAAAGATGTTTTGAACATTGAGGAAGGAGATTCACTGACCAAATGGAGGGACTTATATTTGCAATTATGATAGTTTTTGAATTCCCTCCGAGAGAATCCTGAAAAGAAGAACCAAATATTGATCAGATTAATCGACAATTTGCAGGTCCTTATTCATAAAACAATTTAAACACGAGTAATTTTTTGCCTAACATTCATTTGAAGATATTCATATATTGTTGCAACATGCGCTGTAAATTTAACACTACTATTATGCCAGAACATCAAATTCACTGCTAGGAGCATAGGGTAGTGACTGTACAATGAAAGTATGCAAGATATTTGTTTCAGGTGTCTCTTCCCTATCTTGTTTAAGGTTTAGAGTTTAGTGAAGTTTCCAGTTTCACCTTTAGAACCAATTTCTAGATAGGAAAGAAATGAACAAAGACGTTGTAACTTCTGGCTCCATATTGCTGATTCTATAGCTCATTTATTAATAATGCTGCATACTTGCATAATAATAAATGGTGATGTAAAATGAAATATACATACCAAATAAAACACAGTTCCTGCGAGGATAACTATTTCATTTTAAAAACCGTGAGTTCTGTTGCCAGGAATCTCCTGATGCTGAAATCTAATCGTTAACCGAGAACACCTAAGTCGCACAAATCTAAAAAAATGGGTACTGACCTGAAGTAAAAATGTTAGCTTTGAGTCACGGTAAGGAACATGGTGTGACTTCCCATTAGATATACCAACCAGGTTCATAATCACAAGCCTGCAATTATAATATTAACACCTACAAGGTTAGTTTTTAAGTAGAACCCCACATTCGAAAAATCAACAGTAACCCTTCATTGTCAGTGACGATACCAACCCCAAAGTTGAAAGAGACTTGTTGATATTAGTAGCTTCCTTAAGGCGTTCTCCCTCAGCACCAGAACTTTTCTGCCTGATGTCAAGAAGGATATAGGTAAACATGCATATAATCCTTTCAAACCAAGGTGTCATAACAGGAACATAAACATGCATACACACTTCTATGAACCAATTACCTCTCAGAACCAGCCAAATCAACAAGATTGAGTCGAGCAAATCGAAAGTGAGTAACTCCTTGAGAATCCCACTAACAACAAATAGTTCAATTAATATGTGTCATAATAACATACTAGTAAACAAACAAAATATTAAGCTTTTCTATTGCATGAATTAGAAAAAGGAAAGATTACTCACTTGACTCTCAATGATGCAAGTAAATACACTATGAGAACGGCTGCTAGCACGATTCATATTAGTAGCAGCCACCTTTCTGTTTGCAGCACCCTAAATAAAATCATAACTTGTGATCAATGTCGTTTAACTTGCACATTTAAGAGAGATGAGATTCATGGGCCAAATTAAAGAAACTGTTCTGAAAATAAAAACATAGGTTGTTTTCTCTCAATTATGGAATTGAAAAATGCCTACATGTGATACAAAGCAGTAGATAGTTTCAACCACAAACTAAAATACTACAAACCATGAGTATTACTGTCAATATTGGTTAACAATACTCAAATATAAAGGTGGATGCATTACATACCTGAACAAGTAATTGAATAACATCTCTAGCATTAGTAACTTCCATTTCCTTGAGATTTTCCACATAAACACCTTTCTTACTGTCTTCTCTTATCTGCCACATTATTTTTATTTACTTTTAAAGCTGAAAGTTTTCAAAACTGAAGAGTCGATGTGAAAGGTTAGTAATTACCTGCAGATTGCTAGATGAAGGATCCAACAGATCAAGGATCTGTTCATTGTATATCTCCAAGAAAGAACATTTGCATGTGAATTTTAACTTCTCTTCTCTACGCACCTCTTTTTCCTGGTGTATTACAGTATTAACAGACTAAACTTAAAAACATGCAACTATAGCTACATGAATTGAGAGCCATATAGGGACTGAGATACTATCATCTAAAATTAGGCAGAAGTTAAATTCAAGTTAAATATATAAAATGAAAACATATAGAAAATGTTTTCTGTTTTTTCAAATATAAACTTATTATCAATTTATTCATACTCATATATTTTAAAGTGAATGTATCAACTTGCTCCAAGAGTAAGTTTGCACATAGTTACTTAGCTTAGTCACTCATTATAAACATTAGATTTCACAAATCCAACCATTGAATTAAAAGCTCTTATTGAGTAGATCAACTCTACAAATTCATGTAAATTTAAAAGTTATTTGATACTTCACCAAATAAACTCAATTGAACACTTAGTAAGTTAAAAAAAAAACAAGTAAATGTAGATTATATATCTGCACTTGTCAAAATTTTATAAAAAATTGTAGAATGGATCTAGTCAACAAGAACTTTTAAGTCACGGGTTGGGTTATCAGAATCTAATGTTCACAATGAGTTAATAGGCAGAATAAGTCTATGGAGGAAGTTGATCCCTCCTCTATTTCAAATATGTATATGTATGCAAAATTGTAAAAACAATAAAAATACCAATTTCATAATTTCTTGTGCAGAAAATGGAGTGAAACGTGTTTATAAAATGTAAGTAGAAAAATTTTACATTTGGTACTAACTCAGAGACATTGCTTACTCACTATTTAAAAAATAATACTAGCATATACTTTTGTCACATGATACTTACTCAGTATGTGAGTCACAAAACCCTAATTAATGGGGAGACTTTTCCTAGAAATAAGTTGCTTGTATCTAAATGAATACCATAACAAACTATACCTTCTGAATTCTTGAAAACAAGTGCTCAAAAATTCTTGGTGTCATCCCACAGTTGACACTGTGTCTTCTAGTTCCCCCCTCAATGTCACCAAGCATAGTGTGCGTCTTCCCACTTCCCGTCTAAATGCACAAACAATAATTCTCAATATAGTAAAATCCTTAAAAATTAGAAAGATAAGATAATGACTCACTTGACCATAAGCAAACATGCAGCTGTTATAGCCTCCCATGCAGTTATCTACCATTGGTACACCAGCTACTTTAAAGAGATTCTCCTGTTGCATCAGTTAAGTGAATGTAAATATCAAGCTTGAAAAAAGAAAAAGGAACACAACCACAGCATTGACAATTAAACTTGCACACCACAATAGTTCTAATTCCAACCAAAATAAATGCATCACACAAAAGTTTACCTGGCTAACGTTCTCATCCGCAACCAGGTCAAAAGTAAACCGTGCCTCCGGAGGTCCAGTCCAAGAAATGGTCTGACAACTCTCTTGTCTAACACACTTGTTGTTACCTTGAACGGATATCTCGTTATTGCTAAGCGGACGCATTCTAATTATAACCTAGCTCACAAAAATTAAACAAAAAACAAACTTAATTAGCTTAAATCAAATTCATAACCCTACCCCAATTCCTAAACATAGTCTAGTTATGAGATTCCTTCCTTCAGATTAAACCTAATTTAGAACATAATATAAAAGATAAACGGCTATTAACATTCATTAAGTGAAAGACTTGAAATTAGGTTCCCGTGAAACTGCTTCCAAACACCTAATAATAAATCTTGATCAAGATCTTTCTAAGTTAAAATTGAATTGTGTACCTGCACATTATGATCTTTCCAGAAAGAAGGATCTTCGCACAATTCAAAGCTTTTTTGAATCGATGAAACCGCAGAGCTACTTTGTCCAACAGCGCAATCATCGTCCCAATCGGTAATAGTACGAACTACAGAGTTTTGACCGAGATTATCTTTAACCGCCGATTTGAAAAGATCTGGAGTGTTCTGAGTCAGCGAAAGTTGTTCCGATGGATGATTATGGAACCCGAACCTAGTCTTGAATGCACTTGCTGCCTCTGATAAGAAAGGCATTTTGGTGTGATTGAACGATTTTGATGAAGAATTTGTGGAAATGGAGTAGAGTGAAGTTTTTAGGGTTAGTGAAATGAAACGAAGAGGGAAATGAAAGATGAAGTTTGAATTGAAGAATGATGAAGAAGAAAGAAGTAGATGAGAGAGAAGAAGATTCTGTGATCTAACCGTGGAGAATGATTGGGTTGAACGGTGTAGATGGATTTAAATTCAAAGTTTGAGACCGTTTGATATTGGAGTTTTGAATTTTCGAAGGTGGAGCCAAGATCCAACTTTACTTTCCCCATTTATTCACGCTGGTGTATTTCGTTGTTAGTTTGTTTGTTTATTGTTTTACCATTTGTACCTTTTATTTTTGTTAAATTATTATAATTATAACCAAAATTTAGTTTATTGGAAAAAAATAAATTTAATATACTTTTTAGTCGCGTATCTTAATTTTGGGGTTCATTTTAGTCTCTTAATTTTAAAAAGGTGATTTTTAATTCTTCGGAACATTTTATATTAGTCTTTTTTATCCTATTAATGACAGAAAAATTCAAAAATCCGTCGTTAATTAGACAAAAATGATTAATATGAAACGTTTTGAAAAGTTAAGAAACCAATATAATTCTTTTTAAAGTTAAGGACAAAAATGAATCACGAGGTTAAAATAAAGGAAAAAATAGAATATTAAATCAAAAACATATGCATATGATTTTATCATGTTAAGTATTTATATTTCTTTATTCTATCAAATTATATTTATATTTTTAAATTTGTTAAATGACATAACTAAAATATGAATCTCTATTGAATGACGTGCACTATCTTTAATCTATTAATTTTTATTATAAAAAAGTTTGAGGTATTTGATTTGTCGATAAGTTTAATTGATATGCACAGACAGTAAAGTAATTTTACACTGTCATCCAATAGAAATATATTAATCTTTCATGTCATACAATTAATTTAAAATTTATAGTCTGATGTGGCGGAATGCATAAGGGTAATTGGTTGACAATATAAAATTATTTTAAATTGTCAGTGTATATCAACTAAATTTTTTATCGATAAAAAACATTTATACAAAAGTGATAAAGAATAAAGTAATAATACGATTAAATTTATGCAACACTGTGATACGACAAAATTAAATTTAACAATATAGAAAAATAATTTCATATAATATTATATTTCAATTAAATTTTTATTAAATTTGTAATAATAATTTTATTTAATAAAAATCAATGTATACTAATATCATTAAGTTAATAAAAAATAGTTTAATATAAAATATAAATTGTAATAAAATAAAATAAGAATAATAAATATAATTTGATTAAGTCATCAAATTATTTAGTTTTAGTTAAAGAGATTTCAAAAAATAATAATTTATATAGCATTCTCATGGAAGAAAAAAAGTTCAATAAATTTTAATGGTGGAGGAAAAAAAAATCGACAATTAAAAAATTATCAATCCATATATTAATTATTATAAAGATTTTTAATTTTAAAATTTGACATGTTAAAATGATCATTTAAGATATCTTCTCTTCTGGCCTAGCGGGAGGGGTCAATGGTCGCGCTGCAGAGAAAGCAATAATTCACCTCGTCGCTTATAGTGTAGGGGTACTATCTTGAGTAAAAGCATAGGAGATCCAAGTTCAAGATACATTCAACGGCTTCATGCACCTTACCCCTGAAGAATAGTGGGTGGTTACAACCGCCCCACTATATAAAAGAAATTGCATTAGGTACGCAATTTAAAATTCAAACTTCATTCACTCATCTTATTCACATACTGACTTGATGTTGGAGTGTTAATCTTACAGTGCAGCCTCTCTTTCTCTGCACCAGAAGTTCAAGTATATTGTTGCATCTCACGACCTCCGTCCTCACGATCAACTTTGGTTTCATGACGAAACAGTGGCATCGTCTGTGGGAATCAACTTCTGATTCTCGTATTTTCCACAATTGAATACTCCTATTTCGATTCAGTGATTCAAATTTTCAACCTAGTTGGTTGAAGTTTTAAAAATCAAACCTCAAATTTATAGTTTTTAATATAGTTTGGTAGAAAATCGACTCCATTTTTTTAGAATTCTCAAATCTATAGTCTACAGATCTTCTGATAATGGTTGGATCTAAAGCCACTTGATCAGTCGCTTTGCACTAAGGTGTCGTTGTTGTTGTTGCTTATAAAGCCGCAAGAAATCAATTTTATCCTTCTCAAGGTGGTGTGGATCAGGTCGTCGTAAACACTTTGTTACATCCAAATCTTCTACAACCTCATCAGATCGTAGGATCTGCTCCGCGGTTCCAACAAGGTGAGCCTTCGCTCAGAACTTTAGCCCCACCATTAACCTCAAGGTCATAAACTTTACTTGGTTTCCAGTTGTTACATGTTAACCTCAGAATACAAGGCACGAACAAGTTGTTGAACATTATGTATAGTTTAGTAGCAAAACTCGTAAGCGATATAAGAAAATTTTATGTCTAAAAGAAAGCTTACACAATGCACCTCTGAAGGGGAACACCAGCAAGGAAATCGCTTCCAGGAGAAGTTGAACTAGTGTCCCTGAGTCGGTCACATCACAAAGAGATGAAACTTTGAAATCACTAATCACCAAAAGAGCAAGGGACACTAAACTCTTCCTTAAAGTCTTGGGGGAGACCGAGGTAGTCATGTTCCTCCTCAAAAACAAGTAAAGAACCCTCTAGTGATGAATACATAGAAACATCTTCTTTGTGTCTGCATATTGGACAACCAAATATCAAAGTCGTTGCAAAAACCTCAAAAGCTAAAAGAGTACCACACGAAGGGAGATCCCTATGAGCATGTACAACTAGTTGATTAACATTTGAACTACTTTCATGCTGACAAGATAGTAAAGTGCAAAATATTTGCACTAACACTGACAGAACCCGCCAAGTTCTAGTTTAAAGCTCTATCAAACGGAAGCATTGAGTCGTGGACTGATGAGTACGAGAGCTTCATTGCTCATTTCACATCCCATAAGAGACAGCTAGTAATAATATGTTCCCTCAGCGGGATAACACATGGGAACAAGAGAGCTTGCAGTTATACATAGATAATTTCATGTAACACCTCTATTTTGACTAATTTATTAACTATAACTTTTAATTTTTAATTCTTGATCATGCATCAAACGATCGAATTTAATTGATTTATTTTAGTGACTATAATATGATAAGTTTCTAATTGGTTGTTTTTAATTATTATGAGATGTTTGAATTATTAATTATTAATTTGTTAATCTATTTATTTGATGTAGAGTAATATATAATATTTAGTAATTAAATTAAAGTTTAGGATAATTAAGAAAAATATTAACATAAATAATTATAACAAAATGTGAATAGTAACATGAAGAAATGTGACGTGGGTGTACTGTAGATTTGAATGGTGGAATTTGTCATATGAGTGTGTTATAATAATCTATATCTATAACATATATAAAGGCAATACTTGGTTTTTGGTGTAACTTTTTTTTTTATACCAAATTTACCCTTATTTTAAAATATATAACTTACACAATAACTTCCATTGAACTACTACTATCATCTTTCATATAACTCCCTACTAATAACTTCCCACATAACTTCAATATAAAATTAATATTAAATAAAAATATATCATTTATATTTATATGTGTGCAATAAAAAAGCGGACAGACGGGAACGCGAGTGCCCATCTGAACGCTAGTAATAATAATATTAATAAAATAAAATCAAGTCAATTAAGTCTCCAATTGATTCCATATTATTCTCCCATCATCTGCATTTCCTCTCAACTTCCACCTCTAAAATTTCATAGGAACGCACAAACCCTTCACATCACATAAGCAAATATTCTCAGAAAATATTTCTATTCACCGGCAATTCATGTAATCAGATCGTAAAGTACATTTGGTTCAGAGAAAAACAAATTAAGGTAAGGGCTTTTTTCATGCAAATTTTAAACTAGACTTGATTTAAAAATAGATAGATTAGGCATGGCAAAAAAATCCGGACCCGCCCTAAAATTAGCGAAGAAAATCCGGTTTGAGTGGGTACGGGTGCGGGTACGGGGAAAACCCGACTTTTAATTACGGGTGCGGGGAGTCACTAAGACCCGCCCGCACCCGGCCCCGTCCCGCCCCCGAATAATGCATTTTAGTTTAATTCTCTTATTTTACTTATTTTAATATTCATTTATTAATTATATTTTTAATTAAATTATTAATACCTTTATTGCAATTAAAATAATTAAATTAATCAAATTAATATTCATTTACTAATTAATTTTTTAATTAAATAATTAATTAATTTATTAAAATAATCAATTTTTTAATTTTTATTGTAATTAAAAAGAAATTAATTTTTTTTTGGGTGGAGGCGGGGCGAGTGCGGGTGCACCCGTTCTCTATGGGGGCGGGTCTGGACGGTAAATTTTTACCCCTGATTGAGTTTGGGGGCGGGGGCGGGTGTGTTACATAGAGGCGGATGCGGGTGCGGGTATAGTAAAACTCGCCCCCGACCCGCCCCGTTGCCATCCCTATGGTAGATGTGATATATGCATTTCATTATTTAGAGTTTTAAATAATTTGAAAGATTTGAAGAATTGAAAATTGTTAAATATCTAATGCGTTGTTTTAGAAATATTAGATTTGATTTAAAAAGATCAAAATTGATTTAGAAAGATTAGATTAGATATTTTTTGGACTTTTATAGTTTGGGCTTTAGCTTGAGATGCAAGTTAACCTAAATTTATAAATAGGAAGAAACTTTTATCATTGTAATCATCAAGTTTGATAATCGCGGTTTCGCAGTTGCAAAGTGATAATAAAATTCCACAGTTGTGGACAAGGAGTTACTCTGCAGTTCAAACTCATCTTCTTTAAACATGTTATTGTTCTTGTTCATTGTCATTCCATAACAATCTTGAGATCAAGATTGAGAATAATTTACCATAGATCGTGGTTAAATTCCAACATCTGGTATCAGAGCTCCGGTTT